GCAACAGCTTGATCCACAAGTGGAAGAAGAAAAAGATGAGATGCCAACCCCATGGTTGATGACCCCACCTCCGTCTGATACCAAACAGGACAGATTCATCAACAGACGAGGTTCATGGATAACCTTTTAGCACCACCTAACAAAAGAAATCTCTCTCCTCTCTATAAAAAGGCCATTCATGTACCGAGTGGCATCAGTCTGAGAGAAATGAAGCAACAGACCAAGACGCGACAGTGCATTCTTCCCTCTGCTGCTGCAGGGAAACAAAACAAAGGATTTCCTACTTCCCTTTGGACGGCCTGGTTGGAAAAAAACTTTTTTCATCCTGAACATCCTGCAAATTTTGGAGGCTGGCGACCTTTGTGGAAAGCAGCACGCATCCACACTTAAGATGCAAGAACCAGTAAAAGCAAGAAGAAAACCATACCATCGCAAAGTCAAATCAAGCGTTGGTTGCAAACCAAAAGTACCTACACCTTGCACAAACGAGCCAGACGCTCCTTTCCGAGAGACCACTATCGTGTGGGAGGCGTAGATGAATTGTGGCAAGCAGACTTGAGCGACATGATTGCCTTTTAAGACAACAACCAAGGATTCAAATATCTGCTGTGCGTGATCGATGTGTTTTCAAAGATGGCATGGGTGCAACGCCTGAAGGCCAAGAGCAGTTTCAAACCTTCAAGCCAAAGGCCGACGCCCCGCTCAATTGCAAACAGACAAAGGTAGACAATTTGTCAACTGCCCTTTCCAGGCTTTCATGACGAAGCATAGCATTCATTTCTACACCAGTCAAACTCCTGAAACGAAAGCAGCCGTGGTGGAACGGTTTCAAAGGACTCTGAAAAATAAAATGTGGCGATACTTTACACAGCATGGGACCAGACACTATTTGAGAGTCTTACCCCAGTTGGTCAAGTTGCCGTGTGCATCGGACCATTGGTCAGCAACCTGTGGACGTCATCCCAGGAGATCCTCAGTCAGACATTCGTGTGTTAGACTACATGGAGGAACAACAACAATGGCAGCAGTGCAAAAAGAAAATAACAACACAAAGACTGTCGTCCCCCAAGACAAGATCCCCTCTCTTTTAATGCCGGGCACCCGTGTACGCCTGAACAAAACCAAAGGCACCTTTGAGAAAAGTTATCTCCCCAACTAAACTGTTTACGGTGGACCGGTTGGTGACAGGGAGAACACCTCATGTGTATCGGATCAAAGATGATCATGGTGAAGTCCTCCAAGGAACCTTTTACCCTGAAGAAATACAACCCATCTTGAAAACAGACGATGTGTATGTCGTGGATCGCGTGCTGAAAAGACATCCAGGACCGAAACAGGGTCAAGAAGAGGTCTTGGTGAAATGGACTGGCTACCCTGCCAGTTTTAATTCGTGGATCCCTGCAGATCATTAACAGATAAAATAAGGAGCATGCTGTCACTCAGACTCATTCAGAGGGTGGACACACGCGATGACAGAACCGCCACCACCACAGCCACCCCTGCAAAGAAGCCTCTCAGCTTCCGTGGGTACAGATGAACCTTCCCTTGCTGCTGCACTACGTCATCACCAGCGCCGACACTCACCTTGGTGTTGTTTTAGCATGACTTTACCATGCAGTGAAGTCTTGTTTTTTGCTCAGATCATTGTGATATACGGTGTGATCATCATGAGCATGGTACAGTTGGCCTTGGATCACGGAGAGAAACAGTTGTGGACAGCCTTGCTCTCCAGTTGTCATCGACTGTGTATAAGCTCGTCTCAGTGATCCATAATCTCCACACGCCATCGACACACACACACCCTGCCACACCAACGGCCCTTTTCAGGGCCACCCATCTCTCCCGAAAGAACCGTTTCATCCTTTGCTTTGATAACCCTCAAACCAAAACAAAGAACCCACCTCCTCCTTCTCCTCCTCCCTTCCCCTCCTCCTCCTCCCTTCCCTCCCTCCTCCCTCCCTCCCTCCCTTCCTCCCTCCCTTCCCTCCCTCCCTGCCTCCCTCCCTGCCTCGCTCCCTCCTCCCCCTCATTCTCCTCCTCCTCCTCACCCTCCCTCCCTTCCTTCCTTCCTCCCTCCCTCCCTCCCTCCTCCTCCTCCTCCTCCTCCTCCTCCTCACCCTCCCTCCCTTCCTTCCTCCCTCCCTTCCTCCTCCTCCTCCTCCTCCCTCCTCCTCCTCCTCCTCCTCCCCCCCTTCCTCCCACCACCACCAGTACAACTTCTTCTTTTTTTACAAAAAAGAAAAAAATGAGCATAAAATATTTAACATGCGCTTCTTTCAATTTTGATATTTTCATATTTTACGAGCGCTTCTTATGACCCCCTCCTCCCCTGTAAATGGATGTGGCGTCCTCATGGAGGCGTGCACGTCTCCCGGAAACGGACATGCCGCCATCTTGGAGACCCAGACCCATTCCTCGTCCTGTAGTACCGCTACCAACTACTTGTGTGTATCGTGGTATATGTGGTGTGTGGTGGTGTGGTGTGTTTGTAGTGGTGGTGTGTAATGTGTGTTGATTTATTCTGTGTGCTGGTGTGGTGTGTTGTTAGTGATGTGTGATGGTGTAGTTTTTGGTATGTGGTGGTGTGTTGTGTGTGGTGTGATGTGTGATGGTGTAGTTATTGGTATGTGGTGGTGTGTTGTGTGTGATGGTGTAGTTTTTGGTATGTGGTGGTGTGTTGTGTGTGATGGTGTAGTTATTGGTATGTGGTGGTGTGTTGTGTGTGATGGTGTAGTTATTGGTAAGTGGTGGTGTGTTGTGTGTGATGGTGTAGTTATTGGTATGTGGTGGTGTGTTGTGTGTGATGTGATGTGTGATGGTGTAGTTATTGGTATGTGGTGGTGTGTTGTGTGTGGTGTGATGTGTGATGGTGTAGTTATTGGTATGTTGTGGTGTGTTGTGTGTGATGTGTGATGGTGTAGTTATTGGTATGTGGTGGTGTGGAGTGTGTGGTGTGATGTGTGATGGTGTAGTTTTTGGTATGTGGTGGTGTGGAGTGTGTGTGATGTGTGATGGTGTAGTTATTGGTATGTGGTGGTGTGTTGTGTGTGGTGTGATGTGTGATGGTGTAGTTATTGGTATGTGGTGGTGTGGAGTGTGTGTGATGTGTGATGGTGTAGTTATTGGTATGTGGTGGTGTGTTGTGTGTGGTGTGATGTGTGATGGTGTAGTTATTGGTATGTTGTGGTGTGTTGTGTGTGATGTGTGATGGTGTAGTTATTGGTATGTGGTGGTGTGGAGTGTGTGTGATGTGTGATGGTGTAGTTATTGGTATGTGGTGGTGTGTTGTGTGTGATGGTGTAGTTATTGGTATGTGGTGGTGTGTTGTGTGTGATGTGATGTGTGATGGTGTAGTTATTGATATGTGGTGGTGTGTTGTGTGTGATGTGATGTGTGATGTTGTAGTTATTGGCAAGTGGTGGTGTGTTGTGTGTGGTGTGATGTGTGATGGTGTAGTTATTGATATGTGGTGTTGTGTTTTGTGTGGTGTGATGTGTGATAGTGTAGTTATTGATATGTGGTGGTGTGTTGTGTGTGGTGTGATGTGTGATGGTGTAGTTAGTGGTATGTGGTGGTGTGTTCTGTGTGATGTGTGATGGTGTAGTTATTGGTATGTGGTGGTGTGGTGTGTGTGGTGGGATGTGTGATGGTGTAGTTATTAGAATGTGTTGGTGTGTTGTGTGTGATGTGATGTGTGATGGTGTAGTTATTGGTATGTGATGGTGTGTTGTGTGTGATGTGATGTGTGATGGTGTAGTTATTGGTATGTGGTCGTGTGTTGTGTGTTGTATGATGGTGTGGTGTGTTTTTTGTGGCGGTGTGTGATCTGTGTGTTGATCTGTTCTGTGTGATGGTGTGGCGTGTGTGATGTGTGATGGTGTAGTTATTGGTATGTGGTGGTGTGTTGTGTGTGATGTGATGTGTGATGGTGTAGTTATTGGTATGTGGTGGTGTGTTGTGTGTGGTGTTGTGTGTGATGGTGTAGTTATTGGTATGTGGTGGTGTGTTGTGTGTGATGTGATGTGTGATGGTGTAGTTATTGGTATGTGGTGGTGTGTTGTGTGTGGTGTGATGTGTGATGGTGTAGTTATTGGTATGTTGTGGTGTGTTGTGTGTGATGTGTGATGGTGTAGTTATTGGTATGTGGTGGTGTGGAGTGTGTGTGATGTGTGATGGTGTAGTTATTGGTATGTGGTGGTGTGTTGTGTGTGATGGTGTAGTTATTGGTATGTGGTGGTGTGTTGTGTGTGATGTGATGTGTGATGGTGTAGTTATTGATATGTGGTGGTGTGTTGTGTGTGATGTGATGTGTGATGTTGTAGTTATTGGCAAGTGGTGGTGTGTTGTGTGTGGTGTGATGTGTGATGGTGTAGTTATTGATATGTGGTGTTGTGTTTTGTGTGGTGTGATGTGTGATAGTGTAGTTATTGATATGTGGTGGTGTGTTGTGTGTGGTGTGATGTGTGATGGTGTAGTTAGTGGTATGTGGTGGTGTGTTCTGTGTGATGTGTGATGGTGTAGTTATTGGTATGTGGTGGTGTGGTGTGTGTGGTGGGATGTGTGATGGTGTAGTTATTAGTATGTGGTGGTGTGTTGTGTGTGATGTGATGTGTGATGGTGTAGTTATTGGTATGTGATGGTGTGTTGTGTGTGATGTGATGTGTGATGGTGTAGTTATTGGTATGTGGTCGTGTGTTGTGTGTTGTATGATGGTGTGGTGTGTTTTTTGTGGCGGTGTGTGATCTGTGTGTTGATCTGTTCTGTGTGATGGTGTGGCGTGTGTGATGTGTGATGGTGTAGTTAGTGATATGTAGTGGTGTGTGGTGTGAAAAATGTTCGATGGAAATGTTGGATGACCAGATAGAATACGCTTTGAAGGAATATCGATTCCTCATGTTATGACTTAAGACAGTGGTTTTGAAACATCCACCGAAAAAGTATTCTGTCCCTGACAAAAATCCCCGCCAACTCTCAAGAATTTTAACTAGTCAGTTCCTTACGCCATCCATTGTATGCTGCTGTGAGGGTGATGTTGCTGATACTGTAGTAGCCCCTCAGGTCCACCTCCCACCAGGATGGGTTGCCATAGTTTGTATACGACCCTGTCATCCAGTAGACTGGATTGATGGCCTGGCTCGCAGGATATGCAAGATAATAATACCTTCGGTTGGCAATATAAGTAGAACTTTGTTTGGCAAGTTTGCCAAACGCAATGCTTTCACCTACAAGGAAAGGTAGAGACTAAAACCATCGGCAAGAGAAATTAAAATGATCGTTTTTAATTTCGAGAGACTGATCATGATGAGTACTTGATTTTATATCAAAGTGACCTAACGAATACTCAGCAATAACGAACAATAATGTAAAACTCTTTTGTGTGGTACATCGAACAGATGTCACTGGTTATGTGAATAACGAACTCGAGATGTGACTTTGAGGACTTTGAGGAACCTTTGGAGTTTATTACACCAGATATATACTCTTTCAAAAAGAAACGCAAAGCCAGATTTGTGTGACGTACGAAAATACATTTATACGAGGAACCGTACAAGGTATTGAGCCAAAATGTTGTGGAGACTTGGTGATTGTAGTCATCTCAGTTATAGGTACATAGGTAATGTCCAAGGTGAAGGTCAGCTACCATCAATAGCGGCCTCACATCTCCAGCCCATGGAAGAGAAAAGTATGCGAATCATATCCTGGGGAATGGTAGCCCACTCGGTCTGCAACGCAAAAGCCAACTCCTGCAACGTCTGTGGTTGACGTTGGCGTAGCCGTCTATACAATTCATCCAACAGGTGCTCCATCGGGTGCAAAACCGGGATCTGGAGGGCCAGGGGCGAACATCGACGTTGTTGTTGTGTAGACAGGCTCTTGTGATCCGTGCTGTATGCGGTCGAGCGTTTACCTGCTGGAATACACCGTTGCCGTTGACTGCAACTGGAGGGACATGTGGTAGGAGATTTTCGTTGATGTATCGTTGAGCCCTAAGATTGCCCTGAATATTGACCAAACCTGTCCCGCCCACATCATAACGCTACCTCTACAAAACCTGTTCACTTTCTGTCCTGTACCCAGTTTCCGGCGTCACGTTCTCCCGACCCGTTCTCAGACCCGTGCTCTTCCACCCCCTCGACGGAGAGAAAATCGTGATTTGTCGCTGAACCAGACATATCTCCTTCTCTCCATCGCCATACCCTGTGTTGACGACACCAATGCAGTCGTTGTTGACGAAGTTATCGACTCAATATGACGTGTCAAACAGGACGTCTGTAATGGCCCGTTTTGACTAGGCCCGTTTTGACTAACCACCTGTATCCGATCTGCAATTTTATTTCAACCCACATTCTGCGGGCCACTTTACCAGTTGATACAAAACTGTGAGAGGTTTTTCGACGAACAAAGAAAAAATGGAAATTACGTGTTAATATTGTAGGAGAAATTTTATTTGTGATGTCAGACTCTTACAAACATACAACAATGTTGTTCCAACATTCTAAAGTATTACCCAGCTATGAAACCATTCATGTGTCGCAAAGAGAACATTGATAGTGGGCAGCAAAACGTAATAAGAGTTGCCTCCCTTGATAATGCGAAGGAGCCGTCAGGCATAAGGTAGATCTATATTTTTTATGCTTTTTCAATAGCGCATTGTTGGATTTTAACCTGTCCTACAAAGCCTGTGAATGTTGTAAACTAATGACCAGATAGTAAAGGTCTGTTTCTTATTGAGCACGCCAGGCGTCCTCACACACTGATTAGATCATGGCCCTTTTAGTGTCACGATGTTTGAGCTGTACGAAATCTCGCTTGCAACAAGCCTTCAAGTAACGTTACCAGTGATACAGATCGTACAATTTTTAGGATATTTGCCTACCCATTGAAACAAATGTCCCATTGATTTTGTAGAAATTATACAGCAGTCTATGGGAATGTCCTATTGAAAATTCTAAACATCAGAGATTTTCCAAGAAATGTCCTATTGTCATTTTCTTCAGCTACGTAGATCTAACATAGCTTGTCTGTTCAGAGTTAATAACATTGTTTTTTGTGTGACATTAGACATGTGAGTGTTTACAGTTCAGGAGACATATTGTGCTGTTGGCTTATTTTGTGCACGTAGGATTTTTTGTTACCTTTTACCTTAACTGTGTAGTTGACTGAGGTAATAGCCAAGTGTACATTTTATAAAATAGATATAAACTGGTTAGAAGTGATAAATGTATATGAATCATGTATATATGTATAGTATTTTGTAGAATTTATAATGCTTGTATTTCATACACACCAGTGTAACGGTGGATATGTAATTTATTTATATGTAGTATACTTATTTGTGCAGGGCTATTCACTGTACATCAATAAAGGAGGTTCCAGCCTGCGTCCCTGAGACAATGTATGCATGATTAACTATATATATAGTGTACTTTGTTTTATCTGGAAGGATTTGTTAAAATATATATGCCAAAAGTAAGTAACTATAGATCTAAATGTATTATTAGTATTGTTGTTATCTTGTGCATTTATACTGTCCATACCCATGATATTCATATCAAATTATGTATGTTTAAGGGCAGATCCGGACTACCGTGTAGTTCTCTCTCTACGCCCATTGAAAATAAATCCCTTCTGACTCCCTTATCTTTTAGACGACCAGAGTACCGCTGTTACATTTATATTTTCAAAAAGCAGCTTTTTTTGCAAGCCGCACTCATCATCACTGAGCACAACCTGCTGAAAAACAGATTTGATGTTTGATCCAACGTTTATCCATTCAATTTTTGTCTTGATGAAATAAATGTTGTGACAATACAAAAATATACCCTCATTCATTTTCAAAAATGTTTCTATCATTCAATATTTAACAATATAATAGCAAGTACTTTAGAAAAACCTCTAAAATGAAGTCAAAATCTGAAAATTCATTTATGATAGAGTAGTTTAGTCTTATAGTGTATTTTAAGGCAAGGAACAAATAGAAACAAAACACGAAAGACAATATGCTTTGAAATCATCTCAATACTGAACTTTAGCCAATTTGGTCCAATTTCAGTACTGTGGAAAAATCTTCAAAATTCAGTCCAAATTTGAAATTTCATTTTATGATGGAGCAGTTTAGTCTTGTGATGTATTTTAAGGCAAGGAACAAATTGAAAAAACACAAAAAAGAAATCTTTAAAATTTAGGCAAAATTTAAAAATTCAATTTGAAATGTTGCAGTTTTGTCTGATGGTGTGTATTGAAGCGAGGAGTAAGTATTAAAAAACAAAAGAAAATCCATTGGAATCATCAATTTATGGGATTTTAGCTAATTTGGTCCTGCATCACATACTTTATTTTTGTCATTTCAGGTTTCCTCATGTTGATGGAACAGATTTGTCCACATTCAGAAGTTTCCCGATAGTAATGCAGAGGTTCTCCATGTTGTAGTGGTTGGACATGTGTTGAATTGAATCATGTTCCAATATTACAGCTGGTTAAGTGCTGTATTAAACGTCATGACATCTTCAATATGTAAATCAGGAGCAACAACATCCACATCTGTGAACATCTTGTATCCTACAGTGATGAGACAGATAAGTGATAGAAATATATTCTTTGTTTGTGAAAACATTATGCTAATACTGGCGGTACAAAGTTTAAGTATCACTTTCCTTTCAGTAGAACATCGAATAAAGTATGATTTCATTGCATTTTAAGCTCACCTTGACAACATTAAAGTGAGCTTTTGTTATGGTGATTGGGCCATCGTCTGTTCCTATGGGTCTGGCACCAACAAAGTAAGGTTTTCATTTTGAAACTTTCCTCTTTATATTTCAGCAAGACACTTATCTCGCCACACTTATCTTCTCAAAATCTACTAACTTTCAAAATTCCAGAGTTTGAATATACAGTTATGTTATGATATGTTTCTCCACAACAAAGATGGATTTTGATTATGAAAAAAATCAATATGGTGGTCATAGCAGGATGTTGATAGGTTTCACTCCCAATATGCCTATGTGCCATTATGCCTACTGACAAATATGTAATAAACTTAGCTTACCCATGTAAAAATGAACTGGTCTAGAAAATAGAAAAGACCAATTACATGGAATATTGTGAAAATAAAATGTTAACATTCACTTTACTGATATAATGACAATTTATAGAGAAATGGTCTCCTACTGATAAGATCATAAACCAAGGTCATGTTTTCATGATTACACTTTATGTAGTGTTGTGAACATTTTGAAGGTAACACACACATTATGAAAATGTATAAAAACAAGATATGTAGGTATAATGCACACAACTTAGTACATTTGTAAAGAATAACTCAGTTTGGTATTTGCCTAATATAAAAATTTAATGAAACCCAGAAGATTTCAGGCTGCCTAGTGTTATATTTTCAACAGACTTGAAATGAACAGAACTATAACCTCTCTTGGTTCAATTGCCATTATTGAGGCCTTAATTTTTTTCAAATTGAATTTACTGGTATTGGTTATTACTGCCAAATCATTATGTTTCTTTGGAATGGAAAGTCCGATAAGATTCAAGAGCTAATGTAAAAAGGAGAAGCTTTGGTATTATGATTTCTTTACACCAGTCAATTCTCTAAAACTATCTTGGGTGAGAAAGTTATTGGACATTACAAACGAGTCAAGATGAAAAATGCTCTTTTTTGCTTCTTCCCTTGCTGTCAACATTTGTCTTGTATTTGGTGTAGGCCAAATTCAAGATCTAAATTCCAAAACACTTTTGAACTTCTTGTCAACTTTCATTTTTATTATTGGTTTTCAAAAGTGATCAATAGCATGAAAGACCAACATCTTTTGCCCAATTAGATGATAATGGAAATGTCAGTGTCAGGAAATTACTGTCACACTATTTAGGCAGACTAGCGCCGACTCCAAAGGTAAACCATCTCTGAACCACCTTCAGAGGTGGTAACTTATGAGACAAGCGACACAAGCGCTAATGTGAAATGGTAACTGTCTCAAAGTTACTTTAGAAACGGTCTAGAGACGGTTAAATCACCTAATGTGAAAGGAGTATAAGTCAGAGGAATGTTTGTTGGCTGAGCATGAATGGGATAAGTTATGTGGAAAGGGTCGTTGTAAGGATGGGTACCATAGGAGAGTAACCCGAGTAAGCCCCTGTATACCGGACTGTACCCCGACAATGCAGGAAGTCACCCGAGTTTACCGTACAGTACCTAAGTGTTGCATACCATACC